GATATCAATTGATATTATCAAGAGGGGGAGTTAATAAACGCTGTACTCTTTTTTCCTTGTCTATGGTTTTTTCCCATTGGGTTTTCCTAGCAAGGTTTTTAATGAGGCAGCATCAAATAATGTATCAGTGAATGTGTAATCTTTTTCTTCTACTAGGTTTTTATCCCACAGGGTTTTTCCTAGTTGAAGTTTTTTAACGAGGCACATATATTATATAATGGACATCCAAGGGGGAGTGTTATGAATATTATAACATGTGGATGTCCATCTCCTCTTCTTCCTCTTCCTCTTCCTCTTCCTCTTCCTCTCAACTTCATCATCAACTCCCACTACTTCCACTAGGCATTAATCTTCCACTACTCCATTACCTTTCCACTATGCCTTTAATCTTGTAACTCCCCCCACTCATATTCATGTGGTTTATTATCCACTATCTATCATTTAAGTACCAATGTAACTTATGTATAAGACTATGCCTATAAATAAGGCATGCCATTGTATTGTGAAGCAAGTGAAAGAATACAATATCATTCTCTCATTTTCTTGTCTACTTCTCTTCTCCAATCTACTTTCATTGTTGGTTAATTTCATAACACTTCTAAAATTTTAAAATCCCAAATTAAGACTGAGTATAAAAATGTGTTGCTAATTATTTTTTAAATATTATCAATATAGTGAATAATATTGATTTCGTATTTTGAAATTCAAAAATATTTTTTTTAAAATTATCCCAATTTAGTTAATATTATTTAATGAAAATATGCAAATTTATTTATTGTTATGAATATAATATTGATGTGAATCTCTGCATATCTCACATTATCCCTTATCATCTCTGTTATCTTATATTATTATGGAATGGGTAGATTTTATTAAGATGAGAATTTTTGTGTCTATATAAATAGCGATTATGTATTTTGGTATTGTGGAAAAGAAGAAATATTCTCTTTCACTCTTATTCAATCCAATTCTCTACATATTCTTTTATTTTCTTGTTGAATATCTCGTCCCTTTCCTTGTTTCCATAATATGTCATGAGCATGAGCCTCTAACTAAATTATAGGAGGTATAGATATTGATCACTTAACAGGTTTGGTCTTGATGAGAAGGTCTGATATTTTGATTTTCTTAAAGCTTTTATCTTTATATTTCATGATTTACTGTTTAAATATTCAACATCTACATTTCATAATTATGATTATCCATTTGATAAAAGTTTGCGTTTCTTTTTCAAAAGGATAAAGTACTGAATATGTTTAAATTGAACAACTAGGAGTTATATAGCTCTGATTTCTTATTTTATTATCAGAAGTTATATAACGTTAATTTTTTATTTTATTAAATGAGAAAAAGCCATGTCGTTTTGATTTTGAGAAGAATTACTACGTGATTTGTTTACTAATATTTTCATAAGATAAACCTATAATGTTGATAGATATCCTAACCATTATTGTGCTTTAGAAAAACATTATTCCTATTTGTTTTCTTTTGGAGCTATTTAAAATATTTTCATTGTTCTGGATGATATGATTTCTTTTATATAGTTTAAGAAACATCTTATATTTAAACAAGCTAATGTTTTATAGATTATTATGTTTATCTTTTCAGATATTATATTCTTTTTTTATAATAATATCATAGGTAACCTTACGAAACTTGAGTTTGTGGTTTTGGATATTATTAGGAAAAAAAATAATTTACTTTAAGTAATAGATGCAAAATTTATCTAAATGCCACTGACTTGGAAAATACAATCAGAGACGATTAAACATCTTATCAAGATAAAACCAAAATTTTATATGCCACCATATGCAAGAACGGCTAAAAATTGAGTATGCGACCATAAAAAATCAATTTATTCTTTAGATTAGCTTAAAACAAAAGTATGACTACTAGCAAACTATTGTTCTTTCAAAAGTTTGTTATGACTATGAATGCATTTATACTTGTAAGACTTTAAACATGTACTGTCTCTGATCCTTAATATAAGACACTGTTTGACTTTTATTTTGGTCCTAAATCTAAGACCCCAATCCACTTTATCTCTCATATTTATACATTTTTTTCTAAAATAGCCCTTCTAACAATGATAGTTCTAGTCAATATATTTGATTAGCAAGAATATTTTAGAAAAGACAACACCTATTTAGGACAAATAATTAACTCAACTTACTTCCTTAATCTCCTCAAATTAGTCAACTAGCTCTTATAATTAGGACCGAAGGTAGTATGTATAATTCTGTAACATCCATCATCAGTAACTTTTTCTCACATGATTTTCATAGAAAGCTTATTCTAAATATTACAAAATTATACTCACTCACAAGTTTAAAATCTTACAGACATAAATGAATTCAGTTATAAGAAGTTTTTTGAAACAATAACACTTTTTTTATGGTCATGCCTTTCTTTTAAGATGTTCCAGATAAGAAATAGGTCTTTTACATTTAAATATTCAATTTTTAACCTTTCAAAAAAATAGTGGTGTAAAAAGCTTTGGCTTTGACTTGATTAGATGCATAATTATCTTTTTTTGATTGTGTCTTCCAAACTATTGATATTTGGATGGATTTTCACATCTGGCACTCAATATAATTTTTTTTTTCTCAGTAAAATCAATAGTAACAAACTCAAATTTTGTAAGAGTTGACGTGACAACATCATAAAAAATAATAATATTAGAAAAGAATAAACCTAGCAACATATACAACATTGATATAAGAGGTCTTTTTATGCTATGAAACAGATCATACCATTCACAGGGAGGAAAACATTCTAATATTTCCAAAAGAAAATAGTCAAGAATAATGTTTTTCTAAAGCATAATAAATTGTTAGTGTCTCTATTAATATTATAGGTTCAGCGCATGGAAATATTAATAAATAAACCACACTTCAATCTTTTTCAAGATTAAGACCACGTGACTTTTGACCGTTTAATTATAAGATAAAAAATTAAAATTACACAACTTATGGTCGTTTAATAAGATAAAAAATTAAAGGCATGTGACTCTTGCCACTTAATATACACATATTCAATACTTTTCTTTTAAAAAAATTGTTATTAAATTGATAATTATAATCATTATGTATAGAATAATAGATCTTGAATATTTAGACGATAAATCATAAAATATGAAATATAAAGATAATACTACCTCCGGTCCTAATTATAAGACCCCGTTGACTAATTTGAGGAGATTAAGGAAGTAAGTTAAATTAGTTATTTGTAACAAATAAGTGTTGTCATTCCTAAAATATCTTTGCTAATTAAGTGTGTTGGTTAGAACTATCATTATTAGAAGGACTATCTTGGAAAAAAATGCATAAATATGAGAGACAAAATGGATTGGGCTCTTATAATTAGGACCAAACTAAAAGTCAAACGGGGTCTTATATTAAGGACCGGAGGTAGTATAAGATTAAGAAACTTCAAGTGATCAGATTAAGAAAATTTCAATGTGCCTCATCCAAATTTATCAGATATTCATGCTAAGAACATGTTATGACAATAAAAGAAAATCAGCAAAACAACGAGAAAATAAGTGGAGAGTTGAAGAGATGAGGGATAATAGAGAATATTTCTTTATTTTTATAACGCCTGATCTATTTATCAAATGGATAATCATAATTAAACAAATTTATACATTTGATCTTTTAATTTTATATAAAATTTTAGTTTGGTTTCTTAACTTTAAAAGATATATTTTTAATTATTTAACATTAAAATTTATATTCTTAAATAATGATTTTTTGTAATAATTATGGTTATTTTTAAAACTAAACTTAACTTAATATGTTAACAATTAAGATTGAAAATATTTTATTAATATTTAAGATTTTCATATCATCATTTTTTAATTAAAAATTTCAAACTTAAATGACTAAAGTTATATTTTTTGAAGTTAATGAACCAATTTAAAATCCTATATAAAATTATAGGATTAAAAGCATATTTTTGCCATTATAATTATTATCTCTATTCATTATTTCGTTCTCTTCGAATATCTTACCATTTTCTTTATTTTCATAACTTTTTTTTATAACAAACTCTTACTCCACTTATTAGTATTTTTCACTAGTAAAGAATAAAATATCTAAAGTTCATTTAAAAAAGATTAAATATCTGAAGATAATTACATTTTATTGGAAATTTAAAATAAAAAGTATTTTGAAATAAAATAAAAACTTTATCAATGTTGTTTGTCTTTTTAATAAAGGGATCAAGCTTCATTAACTAGTAAAATGATTGCACGCACAAATGCCCAATTCATGTGCATCATACTAAATGAATTTCACAACAAAAAACAAAGAACAACAACAACATAAATATTTGGAAGATTAATTGGGTTGTATGTAACAGGTATTTAAATTTTGCATAATTGGTCGTTTCTCAATAAAATAATATAAACTAAAATGACATAAAAATCAAACGAAAAAAATTGAATAAACCAACTACATAAATTAGATTTCTGTTAAATAAATTAAATTTTTATCTGGTTTCGTTCATTCTCTCTCTCTCTCTATGTATTTATAAAAGATGAAAAACACAACTATTTGATTTTATACTTTCTAGAACCTTGAAATTTATTACTCAAGGTTCTAGAAATTTAATTTTATAAAATTTAATTCTATAAAATTTGAGTATAATTTTATAAATATGACTTATTTACTCAAATTTTTATTTGTAAAAAATTTAATTCATTCTTTTAAATCCCACGAATCTTGTACAAAGAGCCTAAACCCGACGCTGCAAGCATGCAACGCAGCGTTTATACGTTCGCGCAAATGCAACCTCTTGGGTGGTCGGCTCCTGGTTCCGCCCGATATACACCGTCTTCGATACCTCGTCCATTTGCAGCGCCCCATGACTTCGTGCTTCGCCGTCTTCTTGTGTCTTCTACTCCTTCGACTTCGAGCTACCTCCCATAGCAGAAGGCAGCCCGCCAGCCCCTCCTCCGACTCCGGGTTTCTCCTCCTCCATGGACCGTCGGTGTCAGAGGCAGTTGGCGCCTAAAAGTTAGAGTTCTTTCTTTTCCGGTGATATGAAAGAAAGAGGAGTTTTATGATAGAATTTTCGTCATTTTGAACTGCTTTGCTTGTGATGGAGGAAGCTCAATTGGAGCCTTCAAAACCCTCTGAAATTTTGACGCGTTTTCCTCATTACCGTCGATCACATTTGAAGAGTGGGACTTATCATACCCTTGTTCGTATCCTATCCCACTGCAACAATGAGTGCAGTCTACCTGGCACAATAGGAAATCATGCTGCTTCTCCAGAGCTAAAAAATCATAGTAAGTGAAAATCAACGACTCTTGCCTTTTTTTTTTTTTTTTAATTTTCCTTATCGTTCCACAGATTTCTTATTGGAATTGAAGTAATTACCTTACTTTAGAAATGGAATTGAAGTAATTACCTTACTTTAGAAACTATGTTTTAAGCTTTGCTTTTGTGTTTGCTGTTCGTTTCAATTTAACTGCGTATTTCTCATGCAATTCTCTCTTCCTTCTCCTGTTTGAAGCCAATGGCATCGATAGATTGGGGCAAGAAAACAGGGAAAGGGAGCCTCAGAACTTGCAATTTTCTGGTATTGATCTTATGAATCTCAAGCATCCTGTATGCCACCGGGGAAAACAGGTTCTTGAGAACTCTAGTGGTAGGGAGTTTATAATGGGAGTAGAGGAAGATGTAGGCTCTGCTGGGAGGCAGGATATGATGATTTGGGAAAGTGAAAGTGTTGAGGCCTTGTCTATGAGAACTAATGGTTTGAATAAGGAACAGAAGAAAATAGAAGAGTCGAATCAGATAGCGAAAGGAACTGAAAACCTTGTTGACAATGGCTCAATTCCTTTGAACCTGAGATTAGGTGAAAACCAGAATGGAAGCAGTGAAGTTGACTTGATCGATTACCGAGTGGAGCATGCTGAATTTAGGAGATCCAATATCAACACATCTGGAACTGAAAGCCAGTTATGTATAGAAGGAGAATTTAATCAAAATATCTCCAAAGGCTTTGATGGATCTTTAATTGCTAACAATTCAACATCTGAAACAAAGGAAACCTCCGTACCTGAAATTAGTACTTCAAGTACAGGGCATGAGACACAACAAAAAGAAATGGAATTAGTGGAACCACTTTGTGATGCAATGGTTTCTCTGCCTATTATTGAAGAAGGTGAGTTTGAGAAGGAAGAACGTGGTCAAAGGGTTCATGTAGCAACACAGCTTTCTCTAGATGATGGTATGGAATATAATGACCTGTTGAATTTTAGTATTGAGCTCGAGAGACTACAAAAGGAAATGGAATTGGTGAAACCTGTTTCTGCTGCAGTTGTTTCTTTTCGTACTGCTGAAGAGGGTAAGTTTGAGAAGGAAGAACAACGTGGTCAAAAGGCATGTGAGGCTATTCAATTTTCTGTGGATCAGGGTACGAATAATGAAGAATCAAATTCAAGTGTAAAGCATAAGAAACAAAAAACGGAAATGGACTCAGCAAAACCAGCTTGTGCTGCAATGGTTTCTCTTCCTACTACCAAAGAGGGTAAGTTTGACAAGGAAGAACAACACGGTCAAAAGGCTTCTGAAGCAATGCATGTTTCTGTAGATCAGGCTATGAGTAGTGAAGCATTGATTTCAAGTATAAATCCCAAGAGACAACAAAAGGAAATGGAACTGGTGAAACCTGTTTCTGCTGCAATTATTCCTCTTCCTACTACTGAAGAGGGTGAGTTTAAGAAGGAAGAACAACAGGGACAAAGGGTTCCTGAAGCAATGCAATTTTCTATGGATGAGGGTGTGAATAATGAAGCATCAAATTCACATATAAAGCATGAGAAACAACAAAAGGAAATGAACTCATCAAAACCAGTTTGTGCTGCAATTGTTTCTCTTCCTACTACCAAAGAGGGTGAGCTGGAGAAGGAAGTACAACATGGTCAGAAGGTTCCTGAAGCAATGCACATATCTGTAGATCATGGTATGGATATTGAATCATTGATTTTAACAAGAAAGCCTAAAAGCCAACATAATCCAATGGAATTGGCGAAACCTTGCTGCACTGCAATCGTTTCCCTTCCTGATATTGAAGAGGATGAACTTGAGAAGGAAGAGCATAATTGTAGTGATGGTTCCAAATCCACTAAGACATATGTAAGGAAGAGTAAGAAGAGGGATTTGGGCCTCTCGGACATAGAGCCATCAGGTAGAAAGGTCCCTGAAGCAATGGACTTATCTGTTAATCAGGGTATCAATGGTGAAACATTGAATGTGGGCAAATATAGTGAAGAGATGTGGTTCATGGACATTGATATCTTGGATGCTAAACATGAAATGCAGCATGAAAAAGAGCAGCCAGAAAAAATAACTTGTGTAAATGGTGCAATATTTTCCGATCATCCAGATAAGAAAGAAGGCATTGAAGAGGGAGAAATTTCAGGTGACTTTAGAATGGATGAGAATTCAATTGATACGTCTTCTGCAGATTCCTTGATGATAGAACAGAGGGAACATGATGTACAAAAGCCCAAACATGTTTTTGAAAATATAGTATTTCCTTTTAACATACAGAAAGAAGAAAAAGAAAAACAATATGAATCAACTCAAGATAACAGTAGACTAATGGAACCTAGGAAAAGTGATAAAAATGGGCTTCCAAATGGAGTTGACTTTGGAATCTCTCGGGAAATTGTTGATTATGGAGATTTAGTGGAGCATGGTTCTATATCGGTTACTGGAAAAAGTGAAGACGGGGGAATTAAAGGTGTTGTTGGCTTGCCACCCACTTTGGCTAACAAAGAAGTCTCGCCCGAAGAAGAAGCCACTGATGATCATCAAAACACATCTGCAGTAAGGGTATGATTTTCACTTGCATTCTTCAATGAATTGTGCAATAAAACATTTTTATTTTCTCATGTTAACTTTGCTCTTAAAACATTTAAATATGAGTCTTTGTTTTATTTTAATTATTTATATTTATCTGCATGAGATGTTTTGATTGCTTGATGATCTTCCTTCGTTATTGTTTAGTTTAGTTTTGTGAGGGGTTAAAATAAGATACTATAGGCTTGTTTTGAGCTTATACTATCTTATTTAGTGTTACACACACACACACACATATTTAAGTGTTCATCTACATGTTTATGCATAATATGTTAAATTCCCGAAGCGTATTATTCCCTTGTTTCTATGAAGTGTTTGCAACTTGTAGGGTTTTGGGAAAGGCACAAGAATTTAAAAATTAGGTTCGTTTATTAATTTATGTGATTTGAATGTGCCCATGCCAAAACGACACTCCATGATGTACAATCACTTGTAGAAATTATGTACTCTTTTCTATTGAAGCGTTGAATGATGCAGACTAACTTGTAGTAAATTGTGCTGCATTTGTTTTTTGTTTTGTTTTGTTGTATGACCACTGTGGTTGATCCTTTACAGCAGAAAGCTGGCATCAGTTGTAAGAAAAAGCGTGGTCCTGTTACTGAGGAAAGGAAGGCCAAAAAGAAGGTATTCTTAAATTGTTTTTCAGTTATTTGTATTTTTTAATGTTGAGCTATTGGTTTTAAGTTGTGATATTATATTTTAAAAATTAGTTAATTCCATCGCTTCTGAAACCAATCTTAAGATCGTTTATGGAATAGTGCATAAATCTGTATGCTTCCAATATGTGGTTTGATCTTTTATTTGTTTGATTTTATTACATAGGAAAAGAAAAGAAAGAAGCGGGCAGAAAAGAACAGAAAACTTGGGGTTAAAAGGTTGAAGCTGCAGCCAGTACAGAAACCAAAAACTATCACATATTGCCGACATTATCTCAAGGGAAGGTGCCATGAGGTTGTTCATATGACTCAATCACATGATAATTATCTTTTTCTCTTGTGCTTGCAAAAGTGAAGGAATGCATCTATATAAAATTCTAGTAGAATTTTCACCTACATATGCGCAATTTCGTTTGTCATCTCTTATACATAAAGCCCACTGTAAGGCTGAAGGCATTCTATATTTGGGAAAATCAAAATATAGTGGCATTTCATGTGTAATTCCTCTTGTACATGAAGATTTCCTTAAAACGCTTGTCTGAAGTCATGTAGAGGATCTTCAATTTTAATATTTCTATTGTGGAGCATAACATGTGACGGGATGCATTACCATGACCTCTATTAGACTTCTTCTGCTTAATGTTCAAAAGCGTCCCATCCTGATCATTATTTGCATGAGTTTTAAATGGATGCATATTTTGCAGCATATGTTGATAGTTTATTGCTAAGTGTACGAGTCTAATTTCCTTTGCCATCTCCAATGAAAAAAACAATTGACAGGGTGACAAGTGCAAGTTCTCACATGACATAGTGCCTCTGACAAAATCAAAGGTATTTACTTCCTAGTAGTTAATTCAGTGATAAGTAACGGGAGCAACTAATTAGGCTTTTTAAATTTTAGAAAACCTGAATTTTTATTGAAATTGCAGCCGTGCTGTCACTTTGCTCGTCACTCTTGCATGAAAGGTGATGACTGTCCATTTGATCATGAGCTTTCCAAGTATCCTTGTAGCAATTTTGTGAGTAAAGGATCTTGCAGCAGAGGGAATGCTTGTATGTTTTCACACCAGGTACCACAATAACTTCATATGATTTGTAAATGATGTAATAACCTGTGATGTGATTGAACTAATAGAGGATTTGCATCAACCTAGTCGTTTCAACGATATATGCGTTCATGATATATAATCTAACTGAACTGGACTCTTATTGTACAGATGCCAACCAAACAAGATGTTGCTACATCTTCAAATGATAGCAAAGCTGAGTTGGAGCCTAAACTATTAGGAAATGCAAACTTAAGCAAGCCGCCTAATATCAGCAGCAGCAGCGCTTCTCAGCAAAAACAGATCTCTGATTCAAAAGGAATTCAAACTCACTTGAATTCAGAAAAAGAGGTGACAGACACTGTAAAGAAACCACCGACAATGGCACCTAAAGGAATTAGTTTCATCAATTTTTCAAAATCATCATCTCCAAAACAAGGAATGGTAACGCCAGACAAGGGAAATTCTGTTCAAATTGGGACCCGTTCTAATCAAAGTGCATCGGGCACAGCTTTAAACTCGATGAATCCTGGGAAAACGCCAGTAGGGGTACCTAAAGGAATTAATTTCCTTTCATTTGGAAAAGGTCGTATTTCCGATTTCAAAAGTACTGTTTGCTCCTTTCTGAATAAGGAAAGTGGTATCAAGTTGTGTCAGAAAGGAAGTTTAGGTACGCCTGAACAAGCATCTCTAGAGAAGGATGATGGCAGTAAAATTGGCATTGGGCTGCAGACTGCTGTGTGCTCAAATGAGACTTTAAAGGAAAATCAATGTGTAGCGGGGAAAATGGATTTGGGTTTCCAAGGAAAAGCTTCAATACATCGTTATAGTAATGGTGTTCAATTTAGCTCAACCTCTCATCATGATCACAGTCTTAGTAGATCAGTGCAAGAGGGAACAAAGGCATATACTCCTCAGACTTCAACTCTGACCTCATCTATGTTTCCAACTTCTCCATTTATTTCAGGTCAATCTTCAGAACGGTTAGCACCTGGACATCATAAGCACGTATATAACTCTGCTCAAAGGGCACTGTTATCAACTCTATCATTTGCAGCAGAGCACGAGTCCAATATTAAGCTAAAGTCCCCTTTTGGTGCATCAGCTGTGAAATTAGAGATGAACAAGGATGTATAGCAGTTCATAGATCCAATAATGTCTGGGAGTGCATGATTGGGAGTTCATGATTTCAAGTTCATTTGCATGATTTGGTATAACAGAGAAGTTCCAAGCCACCTATCGCGTGGTCGAGTGGATGATAATCCGAGGGTTGTCGAGTGCTGTTTTCTTCTGTAATAATTTCTTGCTGCTCATTGCAGGTAATATCTTGCACCCATTTGCACTAATGTAAATTTCTGTGCATTGCGGTATTTGACGTCTAATAATTAATGGGAAGACGTTTGCCTCAAACATGATGCCAGATTGCTTGATCTTGACATTAAAATCCTCAGTAAAAATTTAACCATTTTTAAATTCATTAGAGTACTTTCCTGGTGATTGTGCTTTATATTGTTATTGTAGGGCTTGCAGATCATTATGGCAGCAAATTTGATGAACAATTTCCCCCACTCTTCTCAACATGAGATGAATGAAAATAGATGACATTGTAGTTTTGCCGCCAGAAATCACCCGTGGTCTGCAAGAAATACGGATTCTGAACGAGGTGATAATGACACCACAACGAAGGCATCATGAAAATGGATGAAGGTTGATGAAGAGGGAGGTGAAACCAGCTGCAAGACATTCGTTTCTGCTAAAATGGCTCATTCGAGAGACAAAACAAAAACTGATTTCTTCCAACACTGCGTTAGGGGGGCCCTGAATGTCGAAGCAGTGCATGAAGTCAGACTACCGAGATTTACTCTCATTTTGATTGAAAAAATTGTCGTTTTTTCAACCTTAATTATTTGTTTCAGATACGTTGTTTCACCAAAGGTAAATTAATATGTTCAATGAAAGGGGTCAATACTTCTAAAACAATTTATTGTTACTTCTACTAATAGGCAAGAATTATAATAATAGGTAGTTTTTAAATAGAAAAAAAATGTGTTTGGGCTTGCGTTGAATTTTAGTTCTTGCTTTGACCCAAAAAAATTTGATGCTGCACAATTATTCTTCCCAGTAATTACTTCCATTCGTTCTTTTTAAATAGAAAATTAATCAAATCACATTAATAAAAAAAAAAAGTGAGTTAAAATTACTACCTCCACTTCTATTATAAGCTTTGAATTTGAGAAAGAGTATAGTTTATTCTATAAATTTCAATTTAAATTTCTCTCAACATTTAATCTGTTTTGTTTTCCAATTTTTTCCTCAGATTATTTATTCTTTTTTTTTACCACACTATTTCTTATTACTACATTTTCTTATATATTTTCCTTCATCTTTTCCCACTTATGATAAGGATATACTTGTAAATAAAAGCGTATTTATTTCTTATTTATTATTTTTAATTAATTTTAACAGATTTTTCATTATATATAAGTTTATTATTTCTTATTTGGAACTTATAGTAAAAATCAAAGTGAGTAGTTAGAAACAATAAATATATAAAAATGTTATATTCTTTGTTAGAATTTATTATATAGAAAATTATTTTGACATTAAATACAATAATATTAACACGACTATTAAAATGATTCACCCAAAAAAATAGGAATGAAATGAAAAATAAAAAAAAATTTGATGAGAACATCTAACTGCTACTTATAAATAAAGAAAAGTCACATGCAAATTTTTATCTCATATAAAAAGCAACGAGTAACATCATTTTTCAATCGTCAAAAAGTTGCAAAATTCACATTTCAACATTAATTAAAAATCGGAAATTGTGGTTGTGGCGGCGATCTACAGTGGGCACAAGAATTTGAGAGGGGAAGGAGGTGGCCAATGAGAAGAGCACAAGTCCCATCAAAATAAAACGACAGAGGGAAATGGCAGTGAAGAGGTTAGGGGTTGTAGAAGTCGACACGTGGTGCCCATGCAGATTGCGACACGTGCTACTCATGCAGCTCCTGATGACCGACAATAACCATGCCTCCGCCGGTAACCGAATCGACCGTTCCCGTTAAAGCCTCAGCCTCCCCACTATTCTTTTATTTTTTTTATTTATTCACTATTATTCTGCCTCTAATTATCTTTTTCAGTCAAACAATTTTTTCTACATTTTTTATTATTTAAAAGATCAATGAATTGCCGATAGTTGATTTGTATGAATGAAGTACTGCGAAAATTGTTGAGAAGTTCTTATTTGAAAAAAATTTTAGTAAAAAAAAATTCTTGAATTGAGTGAGTGTAACTTTTTTTTCTAAATTATGTGCAATATACGCTCAGTTATGCATAAATATCTTTCATTTCAGATTTTTTTTATAAAAGACGAAATATTTTAATGGGAGATTCTTTGATAATTTTTTTCTAAAATAATTTGAATTATTTGGAAATAAATAGACATGAGAAGCAATTAAAAATAGTAGAAAAATATATTTAGGTAAAAACAAAACGGGTGCAGTAAGTCAGGCACAGTAATACGGCCGATATATTCAGGCTTCTGGATAAAATAAAAAAACATTAAAATGATTTGACCAAATTCACAGAAGAGGACCGGCTAAAAATATGGACAGGAGAGAGGGTGGGTCCCCTGTATTGCAACAAAAGGTAAGAGCTAGGACACGTGGCATTAAGTCCATTTCCCAAAATGGACAGTCACGCAGATATACTCAATTCTTTATTTTCCATTTTTAATTAAAAACTGGATTAATGGAAACATATTTAAAAAAATACATTTCCTATCTATTCGTTAATTTAGATTAATTTAAATAATTTCTTTGAACTACATAATTTGATTGTTTGAGTCGAGGAATGAAATTAGCACTATATTATAAGAGATAATTAAATATTTAAGTTGATTCTAAATATAAGATCAAAATTTACTTTATTTTCAGCATTTGTTCATTTTACTTTTAAGTAATTTTTGTATTGATTACACATTTTAACCAGCTTTTATTGAAAAATAATTTCAAAGATATTTTAAGAAAGATAAAATTTATTTATTATAAATAACTAACTAATATTTATTTATTAAAAATAATTAACTTAATTAATTTTTTAATATTTATAAATTAGTTGTAGTTTTTATCTTATTAATAATAATTAGATGTGGTATAAATTACTTTTTTTTCCCCCTCAAATCTCAATACAAATTTTGGACAGGGGCTTTGTCCCAGTCTTGCCAAACTAAAAAGAAAAAATATTTTGATTATTCATCGCCTATAAAGGGAAAATAAAGTTTGAAAAGCGCTTAGTTTATCATTCTCCATACTCCCAAAACGGTACAGCCGGTTCTCTCTCTCTGTCTCTCTACGTGTCCTCTACCTCTGCAACACTGGCACTTTCCAGCGGTAAAGCAGTGACAATATGGGGGTGGCTCACGGTGGATCCGGCGGGATCGGCGGTGGTGGCAGGTCAGAATCCATTTCTACAGTTCTATTAGACGAAGCTATGGCAGGAGTAGCACGAGTCAAATCAGAGCAAGTGATGATGTCCGATGAGGACACCGGTCGTTCGAGCTCTGGTGGGTACTGCGATGTTGAAGGTGAACCAGACGACGGCGTTTACAGTGAGGATTCGGCAAAGAAGAGCTCTCAATGGACGGATGGGGAGTTTACTGAACCAGTTCCACCTGTTCATGTCAAGCTTGAGGAGCCGGGTGGACTGGTGGATTATGTCGATGGCGGTGCTGGAGTTAATGGGTCGTCTTATTCATCGCCAATCCTCTTGCCGAAACCGATGGAAGGGTTGCACGAGTTGGGCCCGCCGCCGTTCCTCAAGAAGACATTCGAGATGGTTGAGGACCCGGTGACCGACCCGATTGTGTCCTGGAGCGAAGCTCGTGATAGCTTCATCGTTTGGGATTCCCATGAATTTTCCAAAATTCTTCTCCCTAAGTACTTCAAACACAGCAATTTCTCGAGCTTCATTCGGCAGCTTAACACATACGTGAGTAACGCAACCTAATTTCTCTTGTTCAATAGTGCAAATAGTTCTTGCCCTTCAATTTAAGCAGAGAGAAAAGTTTGTGTGTGCATGATTGTAACTTCTGTAATGTCTTGTTTCTTGCGAAGCTTCTTGCTAGACAAAAAATACTTGGGTTATATGCGTATTTTTCTATGGATGATTATTATAATATTTGTGATCCACAATAATCGAGATTTTGTTCTTGAACTTCGTTTAATTTCTTGGGAAGAAGAAAAAAATTTCCCGTGTGCTCAAATTTTTGCTGCAGATGTTAAGCAGTTAAATTTTCTGCTCATGTTCGTTTTCTGTATGTTTAACCTATTGTGGTTAAAAGTTTATCACTTGTATCATATGCCAACTTATTGTTTTACTGATTGAACTTTGCGGGAGTTTTCTTGATGAATCCTGGCGCTGTCTAGATATTAAATTTGTCATGTGATGATTACAGGGATTTCGGAAAATTGATTCAGATCGTTGGGAGTTTGCGAACGAAGGATTTCAGGGGGGAAAGAAGCATTTACTGAAGAACATTAGGAGGAGAAGCAAGTATAACAAACTGCAACAAGGAGGAGCGTTGACTTCCATGAAACCTGGCCTGGAGGCTGAAGTTGAGAGACTGAAGAAGGATCAGAGCATACTGAAAGTGGAAATTCTAAAGCTGAGACAGCAACAAGAGACTTCACAGGTTCAGCTTGTAAATGTTCAAGAGCGTGTTCGGTCGGCCGAGTTGAAGCAGTGCCAGATGATGTATTTCCTGACCAAAATGGCCAGAAGACCAACGTTCATTCAGCATTTAATCCAGAAGATAAAGCGAAAAAGAGAGCTCGGTGGGGCGAGATCGGTAAGAGACCCAGATTGCTTGGAAACCATTGTCCTGTGAACTTTCCCAAGGCCATGGACACTAGTCCTGATGTTGATTATAGACAAGGTAATAAGGACTTAGCTTCATTGCAGTCAGAGCTCAATGGACTCTTGTCTGAAACAGTGAACAATAGCAGAACGCAGCCTGCAGCCCCTTCTGCTCTGAAAGATGAACTACGCAGTCCGGGATTAAGGACCAATGCTTCAAGAGCAAGTGCTAACGATGCATCTTCTGCAGCCTGCTGTATGATGTCAGAGAAACTGATGGAAGAGAACTCTGTTGTTGAGGAAGGGCTTGATGTGAATGATTCAAATATCTATCTTGAATTGGAGGATTTGATTAGCAAACAAACTGACTGGGTTGGATCTGCAAGTGGATTAGTGGGGCAAACTGGTTGTATCTGATTGATTCCTTGAGAAGGTAAAGCTCTTTTCAAAGATTGTTTTCTCCTGAAATTGCAATTCAGAAGTGTAGTAAGTGAAGGCCTATGAATAGCTCTACATCCATCTCTAACATATACTATTTTGTGCATGTTTTTAGAGCTTAAATCTAGATATTCAATAGAAGAATGGAGGAACATAAATTGAACTACCACTTGAACAGAAGGTTGTAATATTATGTTCACGAACTGATGATTCATGAATTACATAATTTTATCCCGTTGTTGACATTGCTTGCGTGCATTTGCAGGTTGCAAGAGTGAGCCCACACTTGAAAAAGATGCTGCAGCTGCAACAGCAATGATGATGAGCAAATTATATTTAGGCTCTTCAACATATGCTAACTTGAGAAGTGAGAAGGCAGATTGCTCTACCAGTTTACGTGATATAGAAACTCAGAAAGAAATCAAGTGTTTCTTCTCTTGGCTGGAGCTAAATTAGAATATTATGTTCCTCACACATCTTTGACATGTTATTTTTCATAGTCCTTTACTTTACTGCGATGATAAGTTTTCCCCTTTGTACAAAGCCTGGTATCAGCCACTTCTCAAAGCTGAACCCCTTGTGACCACTCAACTGTTTGTAATATCACTACGTCACTATCACCTTGGTTGGTGCATGTTCATACTTCCTGTTTTATGGCTTGTGTACTGTTCCTCCTTGCTTGCTTTGTTTTAGTTCTTTAAAAATTAGGCATATATGATTCTGGTTCACATTCTGAAGCATTTCACATCATTGTAGGAAACAGTTCTTGGTTAAGCCATACATCAACAGATTTTTATCCACTCACCAATCCCCACTCTCTTATGATACATATATTTATAAAAATTATAAAAAAAGAATAGATAAATATGCAAGCTAACAGTTTAAAGTAGAGTCAAGAGCATTGTATGCGGCTTGAGACTAGAGAAATGGAAAATGGGCATAAGCAGTTTTTTCCAAAAAGAAAGCGTAAAAGGTCAGGGACACCTATCATCAAGTGGGTCCCTGAGAGTGAGAAAGCCAAATAAAAGCAATAAAAAAAGGGAAAAGCAGGGCAGGTGTCGAGGAGAAGAAGATGATGGGACCCCAATGACGACTAAAGGACATTATCTTATTAATGTCGTGATCAGGTTCTGTTTCCCAAGCTGGAACACCTAAATTCAATCCAAATGTCGACAAGGAGAGGATGGATCTTCACAAGAAAGCTCTTGGTCATTTTGCGTCCTCTGCCTTGCCACGTGTTTGTCAGCAAATCTTTATATTCTCTCCTCTCATCATTTTTTTATTATTCGCCTAATACGTCTCATTTTATGTTAAAGTGGTCATGATCAGCTGTTTCAACAAGTTTTCCTAGCCATGTTTTTAATTTTTTAAAAACAAATAGTTATAAAGTAATATTAAGGGGTGTTTGGATAGAAACTAAACCATGGTTTCAGAAGTGCTTTTACGGATTACGAAGTAAACATGTGGAGGAGGTTATCTCGTTTTGCGGAAAAGTGATTCTGAAACCTAGGTTTTGGTTTTGCCAAACACCCCCTTAATATCTTCAAAACAAAATTCTTTGAAATAAGTACAAGTGATGAATGCAGTATTTTTTATTATAAATCACTCGTAACTCATCTTCATATATGAAAAAAATACATTAAATTGATAAAAAAAATTTTAAACTTGTTTTTATGCATGTACAAATCATTCTCACATTTTTCTCTTCTCTCTCTCTTTTCAACAGGAATTAAATAAGAATAAAATTAAAAAAATCCTCATTAAATATTCTATAATTAACTTACTTTATATTTAGGATTAAGGAGGTATTTGGTTCAACCAAAGGCACTTTTAAAAAATATTTTCACACAAATCAAAATAAAACTCTTTTCACTCACTTATTTCATGTACCGTAAATCCACTTTTAAAATTATAATTTGGTTTTCATTCACATTTCAAACACTCCTTAAAATTTTTTCCTATAAGTTACTTGTAATAACAATTAGAGCGGTATAACAACTTGTGATTAATAGCAAGTTGTTCCAAAAGTAGCATAATCCGTTTGGATAAGGTTACTATATAATATTATCTCCGGTCCTAATTATAAAATCTCGTTTGTAAACTATAAGTGAGGTTTTATAATTAGGACCCGAGACAGTATGTATTACAACACAAATCATTTTATGTGAATCTCACCACCTCTCATATTGAAGATTACAATTATAATGACTTGAAATTCATAACTTCATGAACTTTGTGGTTCGTTTTTAGTTTAAAATGTAATTATCCTTATTATAAGTCACTTCTAACTTATTTTAACATAGTAAGAAAATTGAAAAATTTACTTTTATTAAAATTTTCTCCCCCCTCTATTTACAAATATTCTCCTCTTTTTCTGCTTTTAACAAAAATTAAATAAGATTAAAATTGAAAACAATAATTAAAAACCTTACACATGACTTACGTTTAGGATAAATTTTTTTTTATACAAATAATTTATAATAAGCCCGGAAGTGGTAGTTCATTATTTTACAATTAAACTTATGAGTCAACTGATTATCCCAAAAAAACAAACATGCAAATTATAAATATTACTTAGAAGCGTACCAAACGTGGGCCATCAGATCAAATTAAAAGGGATTATTGATAAGGTTAAGTTTACCAAGCGCGAATGAGAAGCTTAGAAAAGAATAATTAAAGAGATTGAGATCAAAAGGCAAAGTCATTTTGATAGTGGTGACTTATCCAGACGATATGGTAACAGTCACAACTTCAGCTTCAAATCAAATCCTGCTGATTTTGGGTTTGTCCATTTCGCTTTAAGTCGTTTTCCATAATTATATCTCTAAAATCATTATATACCAACTTAAGGTTTCACCGTCAATCATTAACTTATTTTGGGGAGGGGGAAAAAAAAAAAACTAAAGACTTTACATAATAGAGCGATGAATACTTCTTTCAGAGATTGGACATGACTTGGAAGTTGGATTAGATTCATTTCATCTAAAAGGGCTGTATGTGTTGGCTTTCTCTTCACTCCTTTCGATTCCAATTTCAAGTGCTCCTTTCGATGGGTGGAAATTTAATTTAGAGGGGAAAAAAATTAATCATTTGATTCCTGTTAACTTAACCTCTAACTCAGTGGTTTTAACTTGATTAAAACTTCATCTCTATATGTTGATTTAATGCAATTTAATTCCTATAGTTTTAACAGTTTATAACGTTAGTTCCTGACATTTGAGAAATAACTTTGTCTTATAATTTTATTTATTAAAGTGTAAGGACTAACATTTTAAATGATTTAAGAACAAATGTAAGCTTGGACCAAGAAGAACGAAGGAGGAGAAAACGATTTTTTTTTTTTTCTTGAGTCAAGTTCATTCATGGGTTTCTCCTAACCATGCCTATTGATGGTGAAGAAGAAGATGATGAGACTGTAGACTTATCAAACTCCTGCTTGTCCTCCATGAAAGCCTTACTCAGAACTTCTTGGAGCAGCACGTACCTTCTTCTCTTGGCTTGTCTTTCTTCTGGAGTGTCATTGCCCATACATGCAATCTGTGATAGGTTATTAGTATCCATGATCTTGTTCAGAACTTCCGAACAACGAGGAAAGAATCGTTTGCCTAGTTCAACTGCTCATCAAAAGCAGAAAGAAGTCAGCTGCCACAGTAACAATAAGCAGTAACAGGCTATGATACATTATTAACAATAAGCCTTATTTTATTAAGTGACATCTACTACATAGAATTAGGCTCTATCAAGTCATATGGAGCTCTATTTAACAGCGGTAAAGTTGCTGCCATGTGACTTGGAAGTTGTCATGAGTTCAAATCCTACAAATATCCTCTCCATTTATGGGGGTAAGATTGTGTACACTTATCCTTCCCTAGACCGCAACTAGTGGGAGCCTTGTGCACTAGGCCGCCCTTTGTATAGATATTTGATATCAGTCTAAAACTCAGAATGATTGGTTTTGACTATGATGGAAGATGGTGTTGGTACCATTTTAGCAACCTTAAAATGGTGATTTTGAACTAATTGATGATGACACCATCATTTGAGGATATATGTGGGTTCTCCCTCTCAGATTTGCATCAAAACATATTTCGCTTCTGAAGGTACAAAATCAGGTGGTAGGCGTCATTTCCCTCCCTTGTCCAAGAACAGCGAGGACAAAAGAATTTGAGTAAACTACCATTCCAGTCCTTGAAAATTATGATTGGCATCAATTTAATACCCAAAAAGAATATGTATCTCAATTGATGACATCAACCTTGAATTGACTCAAGAAGGAAAATTCAGTTCTCTAAGGATTTTCATCCACTTATGACTCAATCAATGCAACGGACAGTAATGTTTTCTCAGGTTACTAATTTCAAGTAAAACATATTATTCAAGGGCCGAAACCTTTATCTCTAATGGCTAAATGCAATAAATTATAGATGTGAATCATCATTTACCAGATTTAGAGAGTACTCTCATCCTTGTTAGGTGCTCCTCCTTTATTTTGAAAGGTGCCTCATTCAAATCCACTGCTGTCCTCTGAGTATTAGTACTCACATTTTGAGATATATCTGAAAATGGACAGGTTCCATCAATTTGAACAATGTCCAATACAACCTTCGCTTCCATTGGAAACAATAGCTTCGCCAGTCCAACTGAAAAAGAATTTATTATCAGTAAATCATATCAATTTGAGGCTATTTGAATCTAAATATCTTGAAGTTGCACTTTCTTGTAGTCCACTTGAATAAAAAATGGCATGCCATTCTAGTTGAGAACTTCTTTTCTTCTTTTACAAGTAAAGAAACAGATAATGCATCGATTTCATTTGTAAACTTAATAAACAATATGCAGACTTTGTACATGGTGAATCATACTATCTTACAGAACCAAGAAAAGAACACACACAACAACATAAAGGTAACAGCCATACGAGTCTTAGGCTCAAATGCTTTGAATAGTCTAAAAGGCTTTATTCAAATCACTGATTGAAATCTAATTCCTTAAACAAAAATACCCCCCTTGACGTAGTTATATTGTTAAACTTAATAAGGAGATATTTACATCAATTTAAGATTTTCTTTGCATTAATTGGATGCTGCAAATGATTGAATTGTTTTAAAATAGTAGTTTCCGAGATGGTTTGAAATCTAATCAATAGTATGCATGTCATGCCAAGAGATAGGCCACTTTCTACGGCTGTTATCCTTCTAATTATCTTCGTACACAGAAGGGGGCAAAAAGGAAGAAGAATGAAATTCACTGTACTTTTCTACAAGGGCAATTGGCAGCAGTTCAATGTTATCAAATGGAAGCAACTTTTCCAACACTTGTAGAGTAATTTGGCTGAGAATAACTGCAATAAGACTAAGATGTTAAGTAAACTTGATCCTACAACTCTGATGCTACATGAAACTTCTCATAAAGTACATAAAAGAGACATGCAAGAAGGGGGAAAAAAATGCAGAGTTTGGACTTGTGAATAATTACCTCTGTTTTCAAGGTATAACAGTTTCATGCGCAAATCGTCCCCTGCCATAGCAAGAGAAAAAGACGCCTCCCCAAGTACAGGCTCTCTTCTCTCAGCTTGTTCTAATATCTCTATGCACAATCTGTCCCTAGAAGATGCTTTGCCTTCCTCAGCACCATAATAATGCACTGCCTTGGTGAGGCGCTTAGAAATTTGAAGGGCTTTCCTACCATCCAAAGTGAGATCAGAAGGCTGAGCTCCCTTGGTCAAAAGGGACACTATAATCTTAGGCTCCTTCCTCATTGCAGCCACATGGAGCACACTATATCCCCTTGGATTTTTACAATTAACATCAGCAAGCCCGAGGTCAAGAAGCTCAGTAGTAGTCTTGGCATCACAGTATGCAACAGCATAGTGAAGGGCATAAGCATCATCTAGATTAGTATGTCCCTCTCTCAAGAGCAACCTCACTAACTCAACATCATCAGAATCAAGAGCCCTATGTATTCTCTTCACAAATTTATCTGGCAAACAGATGTTGTTGGACTTGTCTTCTGAGCCTAGTTCTATACGTTTATCAATAATTTGTTTCATAATTTGCTGTGGCAGAGCTTTTTCAAGAGTAATGACATCAACATCAGATTTAACAATCAACTCAGTACACCTTGCTAGAAGTGTCTCGCAGGATTTACCACATATACTTGCAACAGAAAGAACCAGCAAAATTTCATCTGCTGCTGCCTTGTCAAGAATTCGTAGCAGATAGTTCTACAAAGCAAACAATTCCACCAGTCAAGTATTTACTATATATAAATTTACAGTAAATCAGCAGAAGAGTAAATAAAGGAAGAAAAATCAATATAAGCTCATAATATTTCGTGCAAAATCATTGCACAAGTCATTTCATATAGCCATTTCACCATGGTAGTGACAATAAACTATTATGGTTGGGGGGGCCCACATTTTCAAAATTTTCTTAGTATTCTAGACACCATAAGATTTTAGTTTTGAAGAATGGGAATCTTGCCAAAAAAAAAAAAAGAATTGATCAATGTACCTGATAAAGATCAACCAACTCAGATATTTCAAACGCTGAAGAGGCATAGAGCAGTTCAGCCATGAATTCCACAGCAGGTCGACAGCCAAGATGGGAGCAATCATCGTCCACACACACACGAACACCCTTGGGCGGTGACCTTAGTTTCCCACTATACAAATAACTCACAACACCCACAATCGCATCGAAACCAGCCTCGTAATCCTTAGCCAATTCCTTCAATTCCAATTTCACTCCATTCCTCTCCTTCCCAGAGAACACCCTCTTGAAGAAAGGGCTTCTCGCCGCCAGAATGCAGCGGTGAACCGGAACTTCCCTACCGTCACCGAGAACGATTCTGGCGTCGGCAAAGAAGGCGTCGGACTCCGAGGTTTCGAAGATTGATGCGAGGTTGTCGGAGAGGCGGCTTAGGGCTGCAACATCTAAAGGAGGTGAAGCTTCCGGAGTTAAATGGGTTCGGGAAGTGCTGGCTATACAACATACTCCGCTTCCATTATTGCTGATCTCGTTGGAATCAGAAATGGTAATTCTAGACTCCATCGGAGACAGAAGCAAGCAACAACTGTATGAGAAAAAGTTGAGAATTACGCAAGTTCTTATCGTCCTTTAAATAGGATTTTAATGTCGATGCGTATCCAGACGGCCTGAAATTGAGGAAGGCCATGGAATTACAGAGACAAGAGAGCGTCAGAAGAAGGCGGGAGAGAGATTGCATGATGGCGCAAACACGAACATGGGTGACGTTGACTTGTGGAGGCTAAAAGCCAACGCGACGTTAAAAGCTAAAGTGCTCTGTGTCCGAATGGAAATTAAATTATAATTTTAAAAATAATTTTATAATATATAAAATAATACGTGGAAGAATTTATTTTGATTTATAAAAAATATTTTTAAAAAAATTTTAAGAATATCCAAAACATCTATATTTTATGAAAAAATAATGACTTATGATTTACAAAATCGAATTAATTACATGTGATTAGATTGTAAGATTTGAAAAAATTACCTTGTAAGGATCTTTTTTATAGTAAAAGTTTATTTTATAGAAAATTACTTTGTGACAATTTTTCCACGATCAACCAAAATATGTTTTATATGAAAAATTGAACATTTGATAAGAATAATCTAAAGAGTCAGTTATATATTTAAAAAAGAAAAAGGTAATGGTAGGAATTTCGGCCAAGAATTTGATTACAAAAATTATGAAAAGTTTGATTGAAGTTAGCCATAATTATATGAACTAAACACTGTTTTTTTTCTAAGTTACAAATCGTGTATGACACATATTAATAGTATATCTCATTAAACATTTTATTAGTATATTGACTGATATATTTGTATTATATGATTGATTTTTTTTTCTTTTTGTAATTTGCATGTTTCTAATCATTGGAGAAAATTCCTTATGTATAATGATGGAAAAGGATTATTCATGTGATAATTACTATTTAACAGTTGGAATATCTATATTCAATATAAAATATTTAAAAAATCATATTATTAATAATTCAAGTGGGCCTGAACCAATAAAGACGGCAGGAGGAGGCAACACCCAACACAATGGGAGGGAGAACATTGGATTATTCCTTGAGAGACAAAACTAAAGGCCATGTTAAAAAAAGCCACGCTTGTGTGGTAATGCTTAGCTACGGTTGCGGCTGTTAGTGAGGTCTCGGTTTCCGTTAGACACGCTGCTTTATCCGCCGTTGGTTCTGGTGCCAAAAAAAAATTCGCCCGTTTTTTGTTTTAATAATGACGTCATTCTCGTTTACTTGCTTGCTTAACGCTACTATCTCCTATTGTTAATATAAGAGTCTGTTTAATATAAAAGCCCGTTTAACTTTTATTTTGATACTAAATATAAAACTTTAATCTATTTTATCTTTCATATTTATCTATTTTTTTAAGGTAATTCTTATAATAAGGATAATTCTAGCTAATACACTTAATTAGTAAAAATAGTTTAGTAAAGACAACGCATTTGTTACAAATAACTAACTTAACTAGTTTTCTTAATCTACTCAAATTAGTTAATTAGATCTTATATTAAGAATTGGAAGTAATATTTCTTATCGTTAGTATAAGATTCAGTTGACTAATTTAGAAGAATTAAGAAAATTACTAAACTACTTAAAATATTTATATTTATCATTTTTTTAAACTAATTTACCTTACTTATAAATTGATATATAATCTAATGATATACTACCTCCGGTCTTTAATATAAGAGCTTGTTTGACTTTTATATTGGTCTTAAATATAAGATCTCAATCCACTTTGTCTCTCATATTTATCCTTTTTTTTTTCAAGGTAATCCTTGTAATAATGATAGTTTCAGCCAATTTAATTAGTAAAGATATTTTAAGACAGATAATACCTATTTATTACAAATAACTAATTTAACTAGTTTTTTTAATCTACTCAAATTAGTTAACTAGCTCTTATATTAAAAATCAAAGAGAGTATATAAACATGTTAGATAGATCATAAAATATTATAATTAAGTAACTTACTAACTTTCTTAAACTTTTTAAATTATAGTCAATTTCATCACACCTTCAGACCTTCTTGGACCTTTGCATTAGGAAAAATCAGTGCGTAATTTTATATTAATTTAATTACTAAAAAAGTTTTAGAAGTGAGTAACATGCGGTTACAAATCTAGAAAACAACAACAGGTTCATACAATAAAAATAGTTAACATTATTATGAATAAATATTCACACTCATCAAGTGTAACTTTGAACATAACCCATAATTTTTTTTTAAAAAAAAAGGTAGTTGATGATTAGTGTAATTTACTAATTACGAAAAAAAATCAGACTTGTTTTATTTGAGTTGCATTTTCAATGAGATACTAAACCAACCATCTAGTTCACGAGTTTATTAAATTTTCGATCATTGAATATTATAGTTAGTTTTGACTTTTGAAGTGCACTACAATAAAGTAATTTGCATATTTACTGATTTTGAGAATCTTAGACATTTTAGGAACCAATTGTTGTTCAACTTAGCCTTGTGCCTTCACCAAGAAGGCAGTTCAAGTCCCAACATACAGCTGACACACAAAGAGAAAAAAGGGAAGATGGATTTAGTCAAGTGTCCAATTCAATACTCAAAGTGCAATTTATTGGAATTGGGAATAAATTAGTTTTTTAATAAAATGACGCTATAAAAATAAATTAGTTTTTTTTTTAAAATAAAGTTTTATTATTCAGTCGACCATTGTATCCAGATTCATGTCGGACGCAGTAGATTATAAGGGTGGCTCAAAAAGTTGGATATTGGATTTTGTGATATGATATCACTTAGCACAAGTTGAAGCTGATTTTCAGGCACCAAGTTTTGGGATACCAACTCACCTCAATTCATGTTTATGTGTGATTTTTTTTGGGACAATTACTGTAAATTCCTGTATAAGTAATCTAATCATTAAAAAAATCTCATAGTAAGTGAACAGTATGGAGCCTATGTTACCAACTTACTGTGAGATTTTTTACTGATTAAATTGCTCATGTGAGAGTTCATGTTAATTCTCTTTTTTTTTTATTAGTATGAAAAAAATACATCTATACAACGGGTTTTTCATGATAGTTATTGCAAAAGTAATTTAAAAAGTATAATAGGTAACACTTTCATAAATAAGATGTGAAATTGTTGATTTTTCTTTAACATTGATTCCATTTATACCAATCGGTTGCATGAGTATGAAAGATTTTATTTTTATTTTATTACACATCATTAATTATATGTTTCACACAACAAAAGAAAAGTTATATTTATGGATCATAACTGTACTTGTTCAAATCTAGATCTTTTTAACCAATTAAATTTTTAAACAAAGACTTTCAACCAAATTTTTCTTTATTCAAAGTGCAACTGCGCAACAACTTGATTAACCCTTTGAGGATCAAGAGATCTTGAAAAGGTATGCTTGCTGAGTGAGATTTTGGATGGTTTTTATTACGCCACAGTAACTGCATCTGAATCGTGAACATTGAGGTTCAATTGCCAATGTACAAGCGTGAACATAAATTTTATTAATACTTTTGATGGTTTTAACATAATTCAAACTCCTATATCCATAAGTCAGCTTGGGTTTCTAGTCATTCATATGTTTTAATCATGATACTAAAATTTAACTTGAGTCTATTGGTTAAACTATGTGAACTAGTAAATTATTTATTAGCCTGTTTGGCTAAAAGTTTTTGGATTGAATTTTTGTCTCCGTTTACTAAAGGAATAATGACAAAAAAAGAAATTGGAATTTTTTGAAAATATCAAATAAAGAATGTCAATAAAAATTTGTTGTTATTTACAAATTCAGACTTATTAATACCAAATAAAGTTGTGTTACCAAGAGAGCGTTTGGATAGAAACAAAATCATGGTTTTAAAAGTGTTTTTACGGTATACGATATAAATATGTAAAAGAATTTGTATCGATTTGCAAAAAAGTGCTTTTGAGAAGTGCTTTTGGGATTACCCAAACACGTCCTAAACCTGATTTGGGATTTACAATTTTCAGCTTTTTTTTTTGTCATTTTCTCTTTACTAAATTAGAAACATTGTCATTTTGAATTTAAAGAAAAAAAAAGTTGTTCTTCATGGTGGTGTTTCAATAATAATTCTGTTTTACTATTAAATTGTGTATGATTTACATACAATCACCGTCCTGATTGGTTCAATTATCAATCCAAATTAAGAGCCTTAGCTTTAACCATATGTCGAGACCAAATGGGCATGATTGAAAATTTAAATGTCCTAAGAGAATAGGTGAGAGACATCTTAAAAAAACCCATTTTTATTTCTGGCTGTGGTTTTTTTTTTTTTTGTTTTGGGGGGGGGGGGGGCGGCTGTATCTTCATCAGCCTCAAGAGAATGTTTCATTGAGCATAGGAAAAATATTGAACAAACTTGTGTTGAATATGGATTGTACTCATATAAATCTGCACATAGTATAACTTATAAACAATATCATCCATTCCCACACTTTGCGTAGCATGCATACACAGAGCCGAAATCAAAAACCAAAGCCCCAGAATCCAAATACACACTGGTTCTCCTTCAAGACCCATCAAATCCCTGGCCTTTATCTCCCATTCATTACTGGATGCGAAGATGGTGATATTGTGGCTGCTGGCAGTACCCTCCAGCGTCTGCAAGAGCATGGACTTCTCCACAAACTCAGCGAGTTCCATGTAATGCGAGTCCAAAAGAGCCACCAGAACTGAGTTGGAGTTTATCTGACCTGAGCTCACCAGAGAAAGAGATCGATGACCTGAGATTTGGCATTTCTGACAATGAAGGGAGAAACATCAAGAAGTTTGGCCTTTGAAAAAGAATCGGCTTTGAAGGGGGATGCAATAAAGTGATAGGAAGAGGAGAACAATGTAGGGCTTGTAAGTAAATTTCTGAAAGATATGTAAGAAGAATTTTATCTAATAAAATATAGAAGTGTTTTTTCTCACACTAAAAAAGTATTTGAATGAAATCAAAATCATAATTTAAAAATATTTTTATGGTACAGAAAATAAATATACGAAGAAGTTTATTTTGATTTACGAAAAAGTGCTTTTAAAAAACACTTTTCACTAAACCCAAGCAGTCCCTAAAAGTAAGATATACACTGTTCATGTTATTCGCTAAACCCAAATACTTCCGAGGTGGGAACACTGTCATATTTCTTTCTTGGGGTGGATTGCTTCGACAACAGCTTCAATTTCTTCTTTCACTCTTTCAAAGACAGTCGGACCTTTAACTTCATCATTAGGGGTATTCTCGTCAATATCATCGCTCAACCCGTGAGTTTCTCTGTGATGACGGTGAGGTGACTTGTGGTGGATAATAGCATCAATTTCTTCCCTAGCCCTCACAAGAATATTTCCTTTCTTTGCGTTCTTTTCTGCCAAACAACAAAAATAATCCAAACACTTTTGGCCAACTCAGAGACTTATAGCTGATACAGTGATTTTCAGTGACATACAAGGAAAATTTTTCTTTCGACCATAATCAAGTGTTGGAATATCTTCCTTCTTTATACTTATACAATGGTACACACATTTTTCACTAAAATGGGAACTGAACTCCACTTTTGGTACCCTTTTATACAGCGGTTTAACACGAAAACACAAGAAAGGATCATGGAATAACTTGCATGGTTCTTGGAAAACAGAGTGTGGCATCTGAAGGAAGCATAAAACAATAATAAAAATGCAGGTGTATACAGTACTTCCATACCGATTCGCATATTTAGTTAATCAAACAGGAAACTAACATCATAATAATCACATATAACTTCCACAAAAGAAAATCCCCAAATAATTACAACACCAACTCACTGCCTTTCAACAGCAAAGAATTACTTCCACAAATGCTGACACCATTAATTCATAGTACTTAATCTCGAAATGACTAAGCAGAGGAACATTTCTAACCATAAAAGCATACCTTGAGGTGAACCTGGGATTTTCTGTTTATCTTTGGACTCTGCCACTTTAGTTTCATCCCTATAGTAGATATCATAGAACAAAACAAAAGAAGAAATCAGACAGGTCAAATTCGATTAGAAGGAAAGGCACAATCATAAAAGAGGGTGTAATTTCAACCTTTTGCCATGGGTTGGAGAATGTTTCTTGTGATGGAGCCCCTGAACAATAGCTCCAACCTCCTCCTTTGCTCTTTCAAAAACATTTGGAGCCCTAATATCATCTATTGAGGCGTTCTCTTTGCTGTTATTAGTTTTCAACCCATTAGTTTCTCTATGATGGGAGTCTGATTTTTTGTGATGCGCTATTGCCTCAAATTCTTCCTTTGCTCTTTCAAGCAAATTAGGTGCTTTTAATTCCCTTTCACCTGCCAGCAGACAGAAAATCATCCAACCATATACTAGATAATTAGGTATTCACATGGAGTCAAATTTTCTTGTTCCTGAATGAAAACATGAACATGTCGCTATTAGGATTTTAATCCAATTAAAACTAGACTCATTGAATCTTCATGATCAGACACAGATAATTTATTACAGTACGAGGAAAAACCTAATCCTTCAACATCCCATCTTGATTGGACAGAGAGGACCCACCCGCCACAGCAATAAAATCAAAACAAGAAACACATAATTGTATCTTCTCAAGTGTTTCAGTTTTCCAAAATACAGTCCCTCCCTCTCTACGTGCCAATCTCTCTTCAAACTTGCATAGTAAATTTCATTTCATTCTTTGCAAGAACGGAACCCACAAAACACTCATTCAGGATTAAATACTCCAGAAACATAAATAGGTGTGTACGAAATACAAGCAATCGCACATCAAACTAATTCCCATTTCATTTCGAACAGTAATCACTCATAAATTAATAATCTATTCGCCATAATCGTACCTGAGGCTGAGTTTGTTGGCTTGGATTTGGAATCGGCCATGGGAAGTTTATAGCCGGCTGAGGAAAAAAAGTAGAGCGGGATTTTGCGGCGTGGGATTCTGCGCAATTTTAAATTTTTAATGCAATGATGGAAATATGGCAATAGTTCAAGACTCAAGACAGATCAGAAGGTCTGACCCGGGGGGGGGAGGGCAGATCAGAAGGAGTTGTCACAGACGGGTTTAAGAGATATTAAAAGATCGAAAGGTTCCAGGGTTAAGACAACGCTTAGTACTTGGTAGTTGGTCCTGACCCGCCAAATACGAGTTCTTTGCTTTTGTGTTTTCAGTTGTCTGGGTGGGTACTGCAGAAGAACATCCAGTCCATAATCAAGACAGATTATCAGGGGTCTCTTCACATAGACATAAACTACTTCTAATTCTTAATATAAGATTTTATTTGATTTTTATTTTGATTTTAAATATAAGATTTTAATATATTTTGTTTCTTATATTCGTGCATTTTTTTTCCTAAGACAGTCCTTCTAATAATAGTAGTTCTAGCCAATACACTTGATTAGCAAAAATATTTTAGGAAAGATGATACCTATTTATTACAAATAACTAACTTAACTTATATCTTTAATCTCTTCAAATTAGTCAACTCTTATATTTAGGACTGGAGGTAATATTATGGATGGGCAAACCCACACTAACCAAAAATTAAATCAGATTCAATTTCGATTTTTCATTCGGTTTTTTCAGTTTTTCGTTAATTATATGATTTTTATTTTTTAACAATTCAGTTTTTTGTGTTCTGTTCCATTATTGGAAAAAGAAATTGGTTATACTAGAAAAATCAAATACATATATATAATATACTCCTCCAATCTTTAATATAATATCTACTCTCTCTATCCCTAATTATAAGATCCCCTTTTTTTTAATGGATTTGTCCTTTTTTATAAGGTCCTTTTGAGTTTGTCTGAATATTTAATGCATTATTACTTATTTTACCCCTAATAAATTTCATATATTGCATTGAAAACAACATTCTCTCTCTATTTATCTTATTATTACTCTCTTACATTCATTAGAGGTATATTTGGAAAAAAAATTATATTTTTACATATTAATTGCTTTTAACTAATTTTAACTATTTTCTTAAAAAGCGCAATTTGGCCAAAAGATTCTTATAATTAGGGACGGAGTAGTATTTAACTAATTTGATTAGATTAAAGAAGTTAGGTAAGTTAGTTAATTATAAAAAATATGACATATTTTTCCTAAAACATCATAATCATCTCCCTTAATATCATTTCTCCTTCTTTTGCCTGATTATAATTGAGGGAATATCATAAGGATAGTTTAAAAAAATTGATAAATACAATAAATAGGTCTTATATTTAAGATTAAAATCAATTCAATAAATATTTTTATAATAAATATGTATGTGTGTGGGTATATGTGAGCTTAAACAATGAGCCTGTATAAATATGGTTATAATAAATATTATTATAATAAAATATGATTGATTAATAGTTATAATTGTGTTTTATTTATTTTTCTAATCTAAAATCACCTTTCACATTTATATATTTTGGTTAAGCAAATCGAAAGATTTCAGTTGATTTGGCTTCGGTTCGTTTGGTTAATTGATTTGGATTCGGTATTTAAAATTGGTTCTATTCGATTTTCCAATTAATTCGGTTATCATTGAAAACCAAATCAAAAAACTAAATATTCACCCCTAGTACTGTGTGTTATCCACAGTACATGTGAGCGCCTCTGCTGGATTCAAACATTTGTTTATTATATCGTGAGAAACTAGTTTGATTAATTTTTTTGATAAAAAAAAACAGTTTAAATGAGTTGAATTTTGAGAACTCACAACAACTAAGGCTTGTCTTTAGATTTAAAAAGTGTTTATAAAGTTAATTACAGATCATTCACCAGCAAAGTTTTCAATTTTTCACACATCACCATAAGATTCAAAATCTTTAATTTTATTTGTTAACAAGCAAAATCATGGAGGGTCCGAAGAACAAAATTGAGCTATGATTGAAAAATAATTGGGTCTTACGGAGTTTTGTTTTTTGGGGTAAAAGGGCCTCATAGTTCATAAGCCCAATGAGACAAAATCACATCCCATATATCCTATTCCCCATTAATCAATTCTTGGATTCGTCATTTGTCTCTAAACCCCACAACATGTCTTCCTGTTGTTCATTTTTCCTGTGGGATGTATGCTCATGAATTGCAGATTCGTCACTTGTTTATTGAAACATGACTGGAATATCTGTTTAGTTTATGAATTGGATACATATCGAACTTTCCATATACGTATGTAGGTCGTGCTCAAGCAATTTGAAGTATTGGTGCTTCATATTACTCAAAGCCTACCTCATAATATCATCAGGCTTTCTTTCACCATCAACAGCTTCAAACGCATTCTGGCAATCTTTGACTAAAGTGCATCAAGCAAATAATTTGAATCCTTTTCAGTTATATCAACAGGGAGTTTCTGGTTACGTCTCAGACCAATTAAAAGGAACTTCAAAACTTGCTCAAACGTCCATCCAAAAGGAGGTACTTTCTTCTTTACCAATCTTTCTTCCAAGATCATATTCAAACCAGGGAAGAGCTACCTTTTTATGCGCTCCTCCTGGCTTTCAAGGCTTTCACCCACAGGGTGTCTCTATTCTTCACAAGTTTTCAATATAACATCTTCATTTTTTCTCTTGGGAGGTCCTCTATGCCCAACCCTCCTTCTTGCCTAACTTTTTACAGAAATTTTGTTTTCTCTGAATTATATTATTCATGACAAGAATTAAAAATAAAAATCATAGCTTTTTGAATACTATTTTAGTCATCCATTTTATGAGAAGAAGTAAATGTTATCTAAATTGATCTTTCTGAGAAATGTTCATGTGCTTGTTTGGATGGAAGGTAGGCTTCTCCAAAAGTAACTTTTTGCTTCCAAAATTGAATAGAAAAAAGTGCTTTGCCAAGAACGATTGGTTAGTTTGGCAAAACAGAGCTTTGGTGTGCAAGATCAAAAGCATATTCACCAATACATTTTCTAATCTCTGCAAGATTTGCCAGAAAAGATCTAAAACGTATTTCATTCAAAATTCCATAGAAGTTGAGAATTTAAGCTGATTGGCATGCAAATACTTGTACGAATCAGTCACATTTCTTTATTTTGCTCATCAACTCTGCACTCTGCTTCCGATTAGATGTCCCTCTTCTTCTTCTTCTTATTGAAGTTATGGGGTGTGATTGGTCCGAAAGAAAAGCCTCCAAACAGGTCGTGGCTTGTTGCCACGCTTGCAATTCTTCCTCTTCATCTTCAGTAACTTCATCTTCACTCTCACCCTTCCTCTTCCTTCTATCTTCTCCGTTTGCTTTATGCCCAACATGTTCCACATGACCTCCACGTCTCTGTAACCACAAATTTCCACTTCATCTCTCAGCTTCACCAATCCACCTCCATCGCCGCCGCCTGCTCTGCCGCAGCCACCACCTGCGTTGTCAAAACAGACCATATATCCCATCAAACATACCAGAATAATTTCCTCCAACAAATCCTCTCCTCTATCAATCCCCACTTGAAACTACTAAAACCCGGGGAGGGGGGGCATAAGGAGGAGGAAGAGACTTGAAAGTTACGATTTTTAGGAGAACCCACCTACAGATCTGCGAAGTTTGAGCAGAGCAGGGACAAGACTCCAAGTTCGTCTCAGCTTATGCCACCAATTCATCCTGTTCGTAACAATAATGATGATGATAGAAGAAGAAGGAGATGTCGAAGGAGAGAGAAGAGAAGGAGGCACCGAAGGTGGTACACGTGGCAAGCGGGTGGATCGGCATTTTGCTGACGCTGTCTGAGCGTCTGCGTGAAGTCCTGGAAGGTAATGGGATCTGACTCGGTTTGGGTTTGGCTTTGCATCAAACATACAAGAGAGAGGACGAATCAGTGGAACTCAAAATAAGAAAATGATTGTTATAGAAAGTGGGTTTTGATTCGGCTGCTCTCGCCACTTCCATATGTTCCTGTGTCTCAGAGCGGTGTCTGAACCTTGAACAATGCTCCATTGTAATGGTGCACGTTTCTGCACGGCGACTTTGCCATGAAGAAAAGGTGTTCAAAGAGCCCAGAAGTTTATAATGTGATTGATTGGTAGAGTGGAAGAGGATAAAGATGCAGTTCCAAATAATATAGATGGGAAAAACACTTGCTACTATTAAATATACATTTATCTAAAGTTGATAATATTTGAACATGAATTAGTGACTAGAATAGAAATCAGCTATCTTTATGTCTATCTTTCAATTATGTATATAGCATTGAACATGGATATCATTCTTACCTTGGCCATTTTTAATATAGGCAATTTCATAATATTTACTTCTTTGACTTTATTTATGAGACACTTTCAGTATGTTTTAAACAAGCAAACAAAAAACTTTAAACTGCATTAAATTTTTATTAAAATATAATAATTTTTTAATTTTATCCTTATTTAATATATACATCTTTTTAAAAAAAAAAGTTTCGATACTTATTACAGTGATAAATACTATGATGCTTATCGTTATAATAAAATCTACATTATTTAAATACAATTTCAATGATTTACATTTAAAATTTTTAATTAATGATTTTAAATAAAGAAATTATTTTTTTAGAAACTTACAGTTAACAGATTACATTTATTTTGAATTATCTATCTATTAAAGAAATTTAAAAAAAAACAGATATAAAAAATTAAATCTCAATCATCCATATTAAATTTAAATGGTTGAGATTTGATAAGCATTAGGGTGCTTATCACTGTGATGAGTACTAAAACTGGTTCCTTAAAAAAATAATTATCTATAATCTAATAAATTAAAGGTAAATACTAAAAATTTAATGAAATGACTTATAAATAGAATCCAAAAATATTTTTTTCTCTCTATCTTATAAATAGGACTAGTAGAGTATTTGCTATTAATTTAGTTGCTATTTACTTTACTTTTTCAATATTATAGTTTGGTTAAATGGGACATTCATGATCTTTTAGCCTTGCTGGCAGCTTCTGTCCCTTGCTGGCATGGTTACTTGTGTGTTTCTCTGGCATGCGTTAACCGTTGTTCATGTCATCTAAATGAAACTTGTCGTTATTAGGTTTTATTTCTATTTCATGTTCTGATCCGATCATCACAAGTTCGATCTCATACTTATGGCCAGAAAGCTTTGGACCTAGTAAAGGATAATTGTCTAAAGAGATTGGGGCTGTAAATCAAGCATGGGCCAAATCTATGGAGGCCCAAAATGATGCCCAAAAGGGCAAATCTATACAGAAAAGGATCAAATCCATGGAGGCCCATAACTCAGGCCTTGATGCCATGTTAATAAACTAAAGCGCCATGTAAGTGGCCTATTTAGGGGTTATTATTTCCTTAATAGTTCAACACATGTATTCTTTTACTTGCTCATGCATTTATAGCGCAAGACTTTACTACCAAAGAAAATGAGAAATTTTTCTACCAATGCTTTCTTTTTAATGGTATTTTTTATTTTTTTCTATTTAAAAAGACAATCACTGATGACTAGATATTTATAAACGAAATCAAAACCTTTCATTTATAGAAGAATTTTTATTCATATATGAAAAGCTCAACTATTTATTGATGAAGTAATTGAAGTGATTCACCATGTGATTTACATTGCCTTCCCCCTCCCTCAACATAGAGAAGCTCATTGAAAAAAAAAAAACAAAAGAATATGGAAGGGATCAAGAGTTAAGGAAATGTCACTTAAATCCCAATTAATTTAACAATACTTAGGTTTCAAATTTATTGTAAAAAGAACTGGAGTGTACCACCCCAATTTTTATTACAAGTCACTCACAATTTGTTCTCACATATAAAAAATATAGTAAATTGATAAAATAATTTTAAAATTATTTTGATTAAAGTTTTTTCTCTTTATACATTTACAAATCATTTTTAACTCTCTTTTCTCTTTATCCCTTTCCAACTAAAATTAAATAAGGATAAAATTAAAAAAATATATAATTAAATATCTTACAAATGACTTATATCTAAAACAAAAAAATTCTCTATAAAAAACTTATAATAAAAACCAGAGTGATATATGGTGAAATATAGGACAATTAAATTTCACATTTATTATATAGACGAACGAACCTACATATATGCTAAAATATGCAGATGGGGTGATCAAAAAGGCTAATTAATGATAGAAGTGGTCATTAATGGATAGCATGTTAATAATTAATAATGTACCCCCTGCCCATTTCAATTTTATCTGAATAATGTACACCGATTTCAGCTTCATGGGGTATCACAAGATTTTGGTTCTGAATAATGTGCCTGATCCATTTTAGCTTCACCAGATATTACAAGATTTTAGTAGTAAAGTACATAGATGCATAGATATTTATACACATACTCATACACACACAGAGGTGGTCAAATTAATAATGGACATCATTTGTTAGGACTGCACTTGTGCAGTACTGGCCTTGCTTAATGCTCAGCTTGACATTTACTCATAAAAGCCCTAATCATTCCAAGCTCAAAAAAAAAAGGGTTTGATAGGCTAAAACAGGGAGGGTGGGCTTTTCTTGCCCAAGTGGTAACGCCATACATATAGGCAAAAAAATCTCCATGCACGAGTGGCAAATGAAAAAGGGGAGATAATTGTTTTGATAAAAAAATAATAGATAAAATAGTAATATTAAATCATATATTATTATAATATACATATATATTCTTCCGGTCTTTAATATAAGACCTAACTGTCAAGTTGATTTTGATCCTAAATATAAAACATATTTCTCATATTTATTAATTTTTCTAAATTATTCCTACGATACTCCCTCAACTATAATTAAGTAGAAGAGACAAGGGAGATATTAAAGAAGATGATTATAGTGTTTTAGGAGAAACATATCATATTTTTTATAATTAAATAACTTACTTAACTTTTTTGATCTAATCAAATTAGTTAAATAAGTCTTATATTAAGAATCAAAAGAGTATATATTCATATATATATATATATATATATATATTTTAGATAAGGCCAAACAAGCAGAGTAACATGCCTTGCACATGACCTGAGTAGAGGTGGGAATCAGGGTCGGCCCTTCAGGGTTGGTGGGCTTAAAAGGACTGGCCCTCCAGGACTGAAATTTTAAAAATATCTCAATTTGCTAGGTCCAGCCCTTAAGCTACAGGGTTTAGAGCCGGCCCGCGGGCTTTTGACCCGTCTAAGAAAAAAAATACTATTTTTTATATTTATCATATTTTTTATAAAAAATAAAAATAACCCAATAAAATTATTAAAAAAAGACATAAATATCAATAAAATTAAGTCACAAATATAAAATATCATCATATATAAATATCCATCAACATCTAAGAACATCTAAAACATCCATTAACAAGATAACAACATCCAAAAGTTTTATTTACAGTGCAATTGTGCAATAAATAAACACTATCATTAATCTTTTGAAACTTCATCATTATTATAATTAATTACTCTTCTTCATAAGTATGCTTTTCTTTCGTAACAAAAATATCAAGTTTTTCTTCTTTATAGGAATTTTATTTTTAAATTTTACAATCTAGCTATTATTTTACTTTAATGTGAGAAACATTGTTGTTGAAACTCATGAATTTCTAATTCAAATTATACAATCACAAGTAATATAAGTATAAAAATACTCTATTATCAAATATATATAGTTTAAAAATATCAACGCATATAATATAAATCAAATCATTATTAAAATCCAAATTAACCCATTTTTTAAAAATTTAATTGGATAAATTATTGTCTAACACTAAATTTAATTTTAAAATGATAATAATAACTAAATATTTGAAATATTATTAATAATGTAAAAAATTAATAACATTAGAATTATATAAAAAAATTATAAAATGGCTTAAAAGGGTCGGCTCACGGTCCTTCAGGACTGGCTCTTTTAAGCCCTCAGCCCTCCAGGGCTTATTTCCCATTTGAAAAAAAAAAATATCAAGCCTGACCCTCATAATTTCAGGACCTAAACAGGTCGGCTCGACGGACTCGGCCTGTTTTTCCGGCTCTAGACCCGACCCGCCCGCAGTTAGCCTTCTCCGATCGGAGTGAGCATTTTTCCTTAGGCTGAGGCGAGCAAGCTGAAGGGTCGGACCACATGAACATGCCCATCATTTGATGGCTCTTATCAAAACAATGCATTAACTATTCATCCCCAAATTGCTGGCCAAAAAAAAAAAACTATTCATCCCCAAATTAAAGAAAGCAACGCATTAATTGTTATCCTTGCCCTTCCCTGCCGCAATATTTAAAGAAATACCATCATGCATGAGATGATAAATTGATGATGACATTTATGTACGTAGGTGGCCCAAAAAAGAAGATAATGACATTTGTGTAATTTTATAGCATAATAGCCTGTGTCCTATGGTTACCTTCTCTCCTTTTTTATATGTATGTATATATTACTATCAAGAGGAATCAATATAGCATATTTATTATAAATAATTAATCTAATTAATTTTTTTTATATCAATTAGCTTTCCATAAATCATTCTTGATTCAGGGGTGCATATATTTCTGTTCAAGCCTTTAATTTTGCTCTTATTAGTTTTTTAGCTTATGTTATTGTTTTGTTTTTCTGGGATCTTTCCGTAATTCTCCATGGTTTTATCATGTAAAGGTGTGAATACTTTATGTACCATTTCACTTTTTAAATAAACCTGTCTTTGAACCCAAAAAAAAAAGTTGACTGCCAATGAATAAACTATTCCCATTTGGACCTTATCCATTCATTCATATACACTAGAGACCAGGAAAGCACGAAGAAG